AGCTAATTGCTCGATTCTGCAGGCACAAATAGTAAATGCAAATAGTAAATACACCCACACACACAAGCACACGCACACAAAGGTAGACACACAACTTTCAAAGGTTGACCAAAGAGGCAGAGCTAAACCCCCGCAAGCACAACTAAGTGAGTACACACACACAAAGACACACACATACACACATGCACACACTCAGGCACGCACACATAAAAAAACCACACACACACACACACACACACACACACACACACACACACACACACACACACACACACACACACACACACACACACACACACATTTACACCCACTAAGAGGTAAAGGCCTGAGGGTGTACTATAGCATGTGCCCCCAAAAAAGACACAGGGGTGGAATGGTCGGAAACAATTTCGCAGAGCAATTTTGCTAAATTTAAACTCTTGCCTGTTGTCAAGACTTCTTATCTCTTCCAAGAAATATTTTTTTTTATTCTGCTGTTTCGTCTTTATACTTTGTTCAGCGTTGCTCTAATATGTTTGTTTTTATACCCATAATGCTGTACAAATCTTCAGGAAGCGATAAAATATTTGGTTGTTATCCTTTCCTAACGGGTTTATAACACCTGTGTAAATAATAACATGTGCATAAATTCCAACACATGTGTAACCCACAACGCTCGTACAATCTTCAACACTTGTGAGAAAAATAAACAGTATCAGTGTAAACCACAACACATGTGAAAGTAACAATACACCTGTCGAAAACCACAACATTTGAGCAAACATCATCACCTTTGAAAGCTAAAACATCTTTGTAAACCCTAAAACATGTTTAAACCCCAAAACTTGCGTAAAACAAAAGCAAAACAAAACATGCATAAACCGCAATACCCCACAACCCACGAAAACAGACTGAACAAAAAGGGCAATACTAAAACTCTAAGGACCTGATACTCAGGACGGCGATCCTCTTATTCTCATAAAACGCTATGTCGAAGCAAGCCCGGGGATCTCTAATTGCCATGACCTGTAACCACTCATGCCTAAAACTCCCATAACCATGGCTGTTTGACTTCCTTAACTCCTGTGTACACTTCGGTTTCTCGTTGACCAGACCACACACTAGAAGGTGAAGGGACGACGACGTTTCGACTTGAGAATGGTCCAGGACGGACCGAAACGTCGTCGTCCCTTCACCTTCTAGTGTGTGGTCTGGTCAACATACTTCAGCCACGTTATTGTGACTCCTCGCCTGCATTCGGCTTCTCGCTTATTACCGCCGCCTTCGTCTTCCTTCTGGTCTCACATTAATGCATTATTACTGTTTAAGCTTCTATTCCATTATAAATATATTGTTATAAATGTCTACATATATTTTATATGTGATTTTTAACCAACAGTTCATATCATTGGCGTGCAGTTATTCCAATTTTATTCAATATGGTCACATAGAGAATCGCCCATTAAGGGAACATGTGAATCTGTATCCTCCCACTAAGGAAACACTTGACAATCTACAACCAAATACTAAAAAAAATGCTATTAAAGAATGGCCCACTAACGAAATGCTTGTCATTTTATAACCACCAACTGCGAAAACACAATCTACAGCCGCTCCCTATAAACCTTCGAAGTACAGTAGCAGTTCCCCAGAGAAGTCTATTACCAACTAAACGGCTAAAATCTCTCTTAAACACAGCAGCACTCTCTATCCTATTGTTCGGGGTAAGTTCACGGAGCTCTTGTAAGTTTCAAAGGTTGTCCTCACCAGTGAATTATTTGCCAACTTAACCATTGATACTTGGAAGAGGCCCTTTGATCTCCACTTCCTGCAGCGGTGTTTTAAAAACTTTTTTTTACTGGAAAAGCGTCGATAGCTTTCTTGCAGTCAGGGAAGATGCAGTCATGTCCTTGAACTATCTCACCTTATCATGAACGCCACATTCAAAGCGTTGTATTAAGTAATGTTTGTTGAAGGTATTCCACTTGTCTCCCGATGGACTTTCCTGGAACATAGAAGGTTTGCAGGTCAAAGATACACGCCTGTGGATATGTGGGTGTATGTTTGGCGCTTGGGTTTAGAGAAGGGTTGGAACAAATGTGTCTACAAATCACTTATACTCCTGCTTATATGCCATATATTCACTATTCGCATTTGTTTTTGTCTCAATTACCTCCATTAGAGGCGCCACCTTTGGAAATAGTCTATCCGAAATTCAGCTACGTACGCAGTCTAGTTAATCACTGTGCCACATTTTGTAAAATTATTATTTATTTTTCAGTGTAGGAGATAGAGGCAGAGAGCGAAAGAGAAAGACAGACAGAGATAGAAAGACAGAGAGAAAGAGACAGAGAACGAGAGACCGAGAGAACGAGACATAAAAAAACAGACAAAGAGAAAGAGAGATAGAGAGGCAGAGAGGACAGACAGACTTACAAATTTCTTTAAGGGGATTTCCAGAAAGGAGCATAGAATAACGATGTTTCACCAACAGACCGACAACAAATTGGATGATTTTGGAGTTGATGGAGGTAACGCAATTACCATAATCATGCTCACTGGCACTCTCCAGCCTCTTCTGCTGACTTGTGCACCAGTGACTGCCCGGCCTCGAGTGGTAGTCGGAGTAAAAGTAGAAATTAAATTTGAAAGTTATCAGCACAACTACATTTTCCCTCCTTTGGCAAATCATGGCATCGTTGAAATGCCTTCAAAAGACCTTTATTAAATCACTGTCAGATATCTCAGTATCATGCCTTCCACGCCACATATCCTAGTAAAATATCATCCTTATAAACCATTCTAATAATATAGTATCCCTGCCAGATATCCTAAAACAAGCAGCCCCGTCTAGTCATCCTAGTTACAGAGCATCTCTGCCAGATATTCTAGTAACTTGTTATCACTACCAATCATCAATGGGAATTACCATCCCTATTCCAGACTTCTTAAATATATACTAACGCTACCATCTTTCCCAGACGCTGCCAGTCCTACTAGAAATCTACCAACCTAGACAAATATCCTTGAATCCTACCAGCCATTCCAAACATCCTTGAATCCTTCAGACCATGTAAAACATCCTTGAAATCAACGAACAGTTCGTGTCCTCATAGAAGCCGGGAAGTGTTGAAGAAAAAAAGCGAGGTTACGATACATTTGTTGCCTGTTTTATGAATTAAAATGATAATAATATTAAAATATCGTTATATATTATTCGTACCATAAATGACAACAATATGTAGTGATACTAATGCATTTAGAAACCAATTAGTATCCTGAATATGACTGGAGAGGGCAAAACAAATTTATAAAAACTCTTGTCACTAAATAGAATAAGTAATAACTAGAAATAAAAGTTTTCTTATTAAAAAATATTTTCTATAAACACAAACAATAAAATATTAGTAAAATATCAGACTCTTGTTGTAACTTCTGACGATCCAATTATCCTCACTGCAAAGGATTTCATAAAGACATTTGTTCAAGCTATAAAATAATCATGGGGTACCCTGCCTAAAAATGTAATTAATAATGTCAGTTACACAAGTAAAATTCTCCCCCCCCCCACTTCCCCTTATTTATAAAATTGTACTTTCAAATTCATTTCCATTATTTTAATGGCATTTTTATTTTCAAATATTTCTGGTAATAATTGAATATTTTGACTGAAGAAAAGTCGAAAACCAAGCGTAGAGACTTTAATGATTTCGCTAATAACTTATTATTAATTTGAATTATATAAAATGTGAAAATATATAAAAAATAATATAAATGAAAGGAAATTTAGGGATACAAACGAAGGTGAAAGATAAAATGGCACAATATAGAGCCATATATATATATTCGAGGTAATAATGTATGAGAATGTAAGGAGAGTATGAGAATGTAAGGAGAGTATGAGAATGTAAGGAGAGTATGAGAATGTAAGGAGAGTATGAGAATGTAAGAAGTGACTTTATGCAACGCATCCCTAAGCGCCAGGCCAAATTCATATGTGAAAATGAACTTTGGAGAGTTAATTTTTCAACTTCCCTCGATAGTGAAGAAAACATAACATATATTGAGAAGCTTCGGGTTACAATCATTATTATATATATATATATATATATATATATATATATATATATATATATATATATATATATATATATATATATATATATATATATATTTGGGGGGCGGTTGCTGAGTGGACAGCACGCTGGACACGTAATTCTCTGGTCCTGGGTTCGATTTCCGGCGCCTGCGAGAAACAATAGTTAGAGTTTCTTTCACTCTGATGCTTCTGTTACCTAGCAGTAAATATGTACCTGAGAGTTAGACAGCTGTTACGAGCTGCTTCGTGGGTGTGTGAGTCTGTGTGGAAAAAAGCAATTAGTTAGTAGGTAGTAACAGTTGATTGGTTGGCTGTTGAGAGGCGGACCGTAAGAGCAGAACTCAACCCCCGCCAGCACAACTAGGTGAATACACTCACACACACACACACACGCGCGCGCGCGCATTAACTAAAATTAAAGTAATGCGTATGTGTCTGAGTTACATGATGTTGTGTTATTTAAAAGAAAAAATAATTTGAAGGAATATGAAACCTCCCTAATAATTACATTTAAAATGTATTATTTGAGATAATGTCAGAATTTTATTATATATGATAGCTGCTATAAATGTATGTAGAAAAAGTGGTAATTTGATATTCAACAACAATATTAATGTTATCAAACCCGATAGCTCAATGTTCACAAAAGTTTGGTAATTAAAGTTAATTCCGGTTTTAATTACTTTGCAGATGAGGTTGGTGTACAAATTGAATGCACAATTAGAATAATATAAATTAAATGTTTGGTCTTTCACCTGCAAACGTTATATGCACACACGTTCACACACTCACAAAAACATTTACTTACATACAAAAGTACATACCTCAACAAAAAGCAGAACATACAAGAAAAGTCAAGGAAAATTGTGGTTTTTACAATTTTGAAAGTTCACTACTGACGTGAAAGATCACACACGGTACAATGAGAGGTTATAATGATGAAAACACTCCGGGTAGTGAAAGCAGTCACAGCATTGAAGGATCTGTGCAGTGTGAGTGTTTGCACATACATACATATATACATAAACACTAACACAAAGAAATTTGCATAGACGTCACAGAATTTCGAAAGGTGGGGTAAGAAGACTGAAAAATTAAACCAATGTCTAACCCACATTTTTGTAGCTGTGTATTATTTTTATACATTTATTGACCAACAGGCGAGGATACTTCACTAATGAACCAAACCATATGTTCTTCTGAGTTTTGAATAAATGGCAAATTTTCTCTAAACTCGTCATTTAAGATGATGGATACATATCCTAGATCATCTTCGGACCAGTTTGGTTCACAGGACTAATCAATTTCATTTATAATTTTTCCAACTTTTTGAACCTTCTCCTTTCCAGTGATTGTGTTTCAGGGCCATATTCCGGGATGATATAGGATATTTCTGTTATTTTTTTATCATAAATGCTTGGAAACACAGTTTGGATCATTAATGGAGAATTCTTGATCCTGGAATTGCAGCCATGTGCATTAGTGGAGCATTCTCGTTCATATTAGGAAGGTTATGAACATAAGCGTATTTGTTCGACCTTGGAAAGAGTCAGGAATACTAGAGAAACATTTTTGGACTTTATGGAGAGACAATCGTGATTTATTGTGTAATCCAAACGTGCATTATGTGTCCACTTGATAAGTAAAGTGAATACGATGGATAACTATTTCAATGTGTGCATTAAGCTTGATTCTGACCTGTGAATAATGGAGTATGTATTCACCTATTTGTGCTTGCGGGGGGTTGAGCTCTGGTCCCGCCTCTCAACTGTCAATAAACTGGAGTACATATTCCTGAGCCTACTGGGCTCTGTCATAAATACATTTGAAACTGTGTATGGAGTCAGCCTCCACCACATCACTAGTTTATCCTTGTTTATCCTTATCTACCCGGACGATTCCTTTCAGGATTTTACAGGCAGTGATCATGTCTCCCCTTACTATTCTGTCTTCCTGTGTCGTAAGGTGCATTTCCCGCAGCCTTTCCTCTTAACTCATGCCTCTTAGTTCTGGGACTAGTCTAGTGGCATACATTTGAACTTTTTCCAGCATCGTCTTGTGCATGACAAGGTACGGGCTCCATGCTGGGGCCACATACTCCAGGATTGGTCTTACATATGTGGTGTACAAGATTCTGAATGATTCCTTACACAGGTTCCTGAAAGCTGTTCTGATTTTAGCCAGCCTCGCATATGTCGCAGACGTTATTTTTTTTTATGTGGGCTTCAGGAGACAGGTTTGGTGTGATATCAACCAATAAATCTTTCTCTCTGTCCGTTTCATTAAGCACTTCATCTCCTATTCTGTATCCTGTGTCTGGCCTCCTATTTCCACCGCCTAGTTTTATTACTTTGCATTTACTCGGGTTGAGCTTTAAAAGCCATTTGTTGGACCATTCAATCAGTCTGTCTATGTCATCTTGTAGTCTTGTACTATCATCCCCTGTTTCAATCCTCCTCATAATTTTTGCATTATCAGCAAACATTGAGAGAAACGAGTCTATTCCCTCTGGGAGATCATTTACATATATCAGAAACAGTATAGGTCCAAGGACTGACCCTTGCGGGACTCCACTTGTAGCGTCTCGCCAATCTGAGACCTCACCCCTCACATTGACTCATTGTCTCCTGTTGCTTAGGTACTCCTTTATCCAATGGAGTACCTTCCCTTTCACTTCAGCCTGCATCTCCAGCTTTTTCACTAGCCTCTTGTGTGGTACTCTCCTAGCCTCTGTGTGTGTGTGTGTGTGTGTGTGTGTGTGTGTGTGTGTGTGTGTGTGTGTGTGTGTGTGTGTGTGTGTTTGTGCCTAATCACCTATATGTACTTACAGAGTGAGTTATATATAAAATTTTACATTCAGTTGACTTGAACTGATTTTTATTGTCAACTATCCCACTTATTAATGGCTCTACTGAACAAATTTATTCTGACATTTTTTTTTAATCATTTATGTCTATAGTTTCTGCTGTTCATAACTTTGAACAATGCTTATTAGTCTTCTTTATCATTTTCCCTTAACATCTAATACGTCATTGTCATTTTTCTTCTGTTGCTCCTCTCCTTCAACGGGGCAAGGCTTAGTTTCATCAACTGTTCCTTGTAGCCCAAAGCTATCAGCTCTGAAACGAGCCTTGTTAAATGTTTTTTATATCAAATTTATCGTCTTGAGCTACTTCCTATCCTGACACTGAGAACTGTTAGTGGTAATCTCTATGGAAATGCTTACACATATTTCCTCACACATATACTTGTCATTTCTTGTATATAATTCTTATTCTGGTCATTTCTTATAATTTCTCTGTGCTATAAGTATGTGTATGTGTATGTGTGAGTTTATGTGCTTGTGAATGTGAGTGTATACGTGTTTGAAAGTTTAAGTGTTTACATGTGTAAGGCAAAACTAAAAGCAGAAAAACTAAACTTTTATTACAATTATTTATATTTACACTACACACCAACTTCAGCGGGAAAGTAATTAAAATAAGAATTAACTTTAAGTACCAGACCTTTGCGAACATTTAGCTGTCGGGTTTGATAACATTAACATCGCTCTGCTATTGTAGTAGAGTAACAAATTATATTTTTTATTATGTATATTGCAGCTTTTAAATGCTAAGATTCTAATATGTTTATTAATGAATTCATACAAATCAAATGCACTTATTATGATATAGCGTGGTATATCTATTAATAAAAATATGCATTTTTTATATTAAATTACATAAATAAATGTAACAAATATATTTATACATGAAAGATTAGTAATTTGTTATACAATACGTGTGTGTTCATATATCTGTACATAAGTGTGAATGTTTGAAGGTAACAGGTCAAAAAATGGCTATTTGTGAATGGTTGAAGGTATAAATACACATGTGTGTACACATCTGGATGCAAATATGGAAATATGTAACATATGTTTGTATTTACGCATTTTCGTACCAACGTGTGTATGCACTTACATATGAGTGCCAACACATTTGTAAGCGCCTGCTGCATATTGTAGGGCTTAATGGTCATGATTAAACTCTATATAATTTGCTTAAATGATATTTTAATATTCTGAAAATGTGGTTCTTGATACGGCGAACAGTACTGCTTCCATAGATTTTGGATACATTAATATGTCCTGGACGTCGAAATTCAAGGTAGTTTGAGCTTGGAAACCTTTTTTTTTCTTCAAATTGTAAATTACCAATAGATAAATGGTGTAAAGGGAACTCCTAGTATAGCTGTGCAAATATTTACGTGCATAATCCTAAGTGTAAAGTCGTAAAATCTTATTATCAAAGTCATCACAGTCCGCGAAAATACTCGTAAAGAATTTAATTCGTGTTCAGCTTAAAATGAATATTTCAACACGCGCAATTATATCATATATACAGTTTCATGCAAGTTCGTTTCAGCCAAGCAACAATCTTGCCAATCACAAACAGGACGGAAGGGGATAGATATTTATGCGTATAAACAGTTAAAATCATGACTATTGAAAGCATCACTCTTCGCTAGAAGGAACGGTAACGATATCGCTAATTGACAGCTCTCTGGTACCCACCTCTCACCTGCCGACAGACTCACAATAACCCGTCCTCAGGCAGTGTTCCTCCGAGATGTGTACAACCTCAAACACAATGGACACAATACCCAAGACCAACGCCCAATCAGCGGCAAGTCAACATCAAGAACGATGATTCAACGCAGAATTAACGTCGATAACGTTCCTTCTACGTCGAACAAACGCCACTCTTGGATACATTGCCCACCGTATAGTAGCATTCATGAATGTTATCGTGACGTGTAATATAAAACGGAATTTTCTCAATTACAATTTAATATGGATGAAAATATCATTTGGAACACTGAAGTAACTTAAACTAGAGATTATTGCACTCCTAGCCGCGCACTTTACCCCTGTACCACGACATGCTGTAAGTAATACAACCTGTTATTCCACTGAATAAACAGGAAGTGGAGCGCACAGTTGATGACCTACTTTATCTATACTAGAATGCATGTGGGTCATATTGTAATATGTAAAACATGGACTGGCTTCATTAGAAGCCTTCAGACTGCATGTGGATTTAGTGGAATCCCAGGTTGTATAACGTATACCATGTCGTGGCACAGGGGGTTAAGGTGTGGGAGTTGGGAGTACCCTGATTACTGGTTCGAATCACATCAGTGATTCGAACTATTGTTTTGCCTTAATAACTTTTCATAGGTTGATAGGCGTTAGGTCAAGTACCAAACCACACTATATAAGGATTGTGATTCATTTGTCCATCCTACGTTGGACGCGTTCTAGTGAATTTATATCCATTCTCTTTTACCGCGACCAAACTGAACTGCATAATCTAAATGGGGCATAACCAGAGCAGGACATAGCTGAAGAACAACACCATCACTAACGCTTCGATAAATATATCTCAGTGTCCTATATGCCTCATTAAGAACCTTTATGCATTGATTTTATGGCTTTAAACTCTTATTAATAATAATAACTCCCAGATCCCTTTCGTAATCCGAATTCGCAATCTCAACACCATCTAGCTCGTATCTTGTAACTCTATTATCATTACCTAACCTCAAAACCTTACATTTGTCAGCATTAAACTGCATCTGCATATCTTTTGACCATTTCAAAACCCTATTTAGATCGTCTTGAAGTGATAGTGAGTCTCTTTTCGTGTTCATTTCCCTCCCGATTTTTGTATCATCGGTAAACTGGCAAATGTTACTGCTCAAACCCGATTTTAAATTCAGGTTTGAGAACTGGATTAAAGTCCAGTAGCTATTTCTTTGAGCACGAGATCACTTTGCTGTGTATTTAAGTACTAATCAACTCTGATTCTTCTCGTTAGTTTTACGCAATTTAACGCGCTGAGAAATGTTTATGTTCTCATATGTTGTTTTGCGATTGTATGTGTATGGGTATATATATGTATGTGAATATTTTGTGCTTGGGGTGCTTGCACTCAAGTAAGCGTATGTATCTATGTATTGCATTTGCACCCATTTCTCTGTTAGTTTACAAAAATATATTATCAAATATGTTAATCAGAAAGTAATGTTTCTCAAAGACAATAAAAAGCAACCCAGTATCAAATGTACTGCAAATTTATAACCATATAAGCACACACACACACACCGATCGTTCCCTCAAATTTAACATGACTGAAGTCTGAAGTAGTTTTGGATAACCATAGATGAACGAACCAAGAGGAACCCACCAATCGTTTCCAGATCAGTGCAAATTAGCTCAAGATTACGTACACGTTGAGATGATTAAAATCTACTAAATCGCCTTAATTTGGAAGCTTGTGTCGAGTGAGAGCAAATTCAGGCACATTACGTGAGATATTCCTTACCTGAGGTTCGGTGTTGCTGTACACTTTCCAAGGAGCGAGATATTCTTCGGATGTATTTACGAACACGGTTCGTATCCCCAATAAAGTGAAGCTCGGGCGAGGCTTTCAATTTGATCTCCAATTTTAACTTTTGCTCCTAACTTCTGATTACTGCCGTAACATCTGACTTGACATGAGCTCCCCCGCGACACCAAGATCATCCTGTAGTGTCGAGTGCGGCTTATATGTATATATATATATATATATTTATAATATATATATATATATATATATATATATATATATATATATATATATATATATATATATATATATATATATATATATATATATATATATATATATATATATATATTGTTTTATTTAAACTTAGTTACAAAATAAGGAGTTACATATAACATACAAAGATGATTGTCATCAGAAGTCGAGTTCCTCCAGCTCCTCGGATTGCGGGCAGGAACCCTGAATGCAGTATACATTTCCCCTTGGATCCCAATGCTTTGGCGCTGGAAAAGGAAGCCTGTAACTCTTGAGTCTCTTGTTATCTCAATTAGCCTAGATCCCAGTTCCTTAAAAAAACTGGTAGCACTCTTTCCTCAGGCGCCGAGTGTTTCAGAAGTATATTAGACAAAATTGTAGTGGTGATCCTGTTCTCTGTACTTGCGGGATTTGGATGATTCCCTGTGAGTGGCAGCGCCACCTGGTTTTTCAAGACTGAAGTCAATGTTGGTGTTAGCCAGGGTTGATACGCACGTGTAGTTCCACACCAACTGCTTGCTATTCTTCGAGGGGTTCACTGTGATACCATCCGGGCGACCAATAAGAGTAGCCGAGTTACGTGGGGTTAGGTAACGGGGCTCTCTTCCAACTGGGCAACCAGCTGTGGTGAGGCTCCTCTTGATGATGTGGTTAACTTCACTGTGCCTCGAGTGCCATCCCCCTGTCCTTTGGCAGTGTTGGCCATGGTGGCCGTACCTGTCAGCCACCACCTCACCGAAAATACACCTATATTTGGTGTTGATTGGGGCAGCAAGGAGAAGGGCCACAGCAATTCGGAGAGCGTGTGGTGTGAGACGCGTGCCAATTGCCGACATTAGGGTTGCTAATAAGAAACCCCCCTCCCTGCATGAGGGGCTGCTACTGCTGTGAGGCGAGGAATGTCGTGTTGTGTTGTTGCAGCACCCAGGCACTCTGCAGCAACTTGGTCTACAATGGGGCCGTCCCAGCTGGATTGATAGTGGGCTTTTGAGGATGGTGGTTGAAGTGATGGGTCTGCACGAGAGGCCCACTCGATCTCACAGTGTATAAAATTAGGATCGTGTACGCTTGCATATATATATATATATATATATATATATATATATATATATATATATATATATATATATATATATATATATATATATATATATATATATCCATTCAGGCTTGTTCGCATATATATATATATATATATATATATATATATATATATATATATATATATATATATATATATATATATATATATATATATATATATATATATATATATATATATATATATATATATATATATATATATATATATATATATATATATATATATATATATATATATATATATCCATTCAGGCTTGTTCGCATATATATATATATATATATATATATATATATATATATATATATATATATATATATATATATATATATATATATATATATATATATATATATATATATATATATCCTAACGGGGACGGGAAGCCGGTCACTTCTCTACGGTGTCTTGATTTATTCTTGAGGATTTTATTTTTCTGAATTTGAAACTGATGTATTGTCTTGGCATTTACGGCTCTGGCAGGTAGGCTTTTCTGAGGGTTTGTTACTCCGTGAGTGAAACAAAAATCATGAACAAATCCACAAGGGCCGTGACGAGGGTTCGAACCTACGTCCTAGAGCATCCCAGACGCTGTTGTGATATCTGTGTCTAACATATATCATCATCTGTTCTTCTGTTCTCAGTTGTATACTGTTAATTGTTGAGTGCTGGTAGTCTGTGTCCCAGCTCCTCGTTGTATGACACAATAATTCTGTATAATATTCTTACTCTAGCTTCCTCCACTTTCTCCTTCTCTTCTTCTCCGTTCTTTCCTAATCGCTTACGGCTCTTTAACTTTCTTCCCCTCACCACTTTGTAATTCCCCTTATTTATTCAACGTGGACTTCTTTCTTTTTCCTCACAAGAGGATCTTCCATATCACTCTCTCTCTCTCACTTCTTGCACTATTTCCTCAGTCTCTCCCTCACTGTTCTCTCTCCTCTCTCCCTCACTGCTCTCTCTCCAATTCCCTTACTTCTTTCTTGTCTCTCTTCCCCTCAATTGTCTCTCTTTTCTCTTCTGCACTGATCTATTCACTCTCTTCTCTGCCGCTCTGCTCTCTATCTTTCTTCTCTTACTCAATGCACTCTCTTCTCTCTCGCATTTCTCATGTCGTTTTTAATCATACAAAAGTCCATTAGGAATGATACGGAGGATTGTAATGAGACTGCAAGCTAAGAGCTTTCATCCTATAATTGCTCATCTGAAGGTTGTCCTGGATACTCATTTATTTGATGAGCTCATTATTAGTATCCATTAGGAATAAACTAATGTTAACTATCAAGTAAGGAAAATGACGAGGCTGCAGTCAGTTGTGCTCAGTCTCTCTCTCTTCTCTTTCCTTCACTGCTCGCTCTGTTTCCTTTCTTGTTTTCCTCTGTTTCCTTTCTCTCTCTCTCTCTCGCTGCTCACTTTCTCTCCTCTCTCTCCCTCGCAGCTAACTCGCCTCTCTCGCTCACCCTAATGTTCCGGTTTAACGACTCTCCAGAGAAAAACTGGCAGGGAAGGTCTGATCAAGGGAGAGAAGCGCTCAGCCAGGCCCCACAGCATCTCACACACACACAGACACAGACACACAGACACAGACACACACGCGCACACATACGTGTACCCTCCACACAGGGAAAGATTAATACCCTCCACAGACACTGGGAAGCCAGTACCTTTCACAGATATACTAAGGCCGGTACCCTACATAGACTCTTGGAAACCTGTATTTATCTGCAGACACGGTAGACTCGTTCTCAACATTGACACGATTGATTCGTACAGTCAACAGTCGCATTAGACCCGTACTCTTAACAGACACAGGGAGATCCCAACATCTACTGCGTTAATGTTCAATAAATATGATAGTGCAACCATCTGTCTTCAATAAGAGTTGGTGAATTCTGTTTTTGTAAACATTCTATTGTAATTTTGCTACTAATCTTGCAAATGTTCTTCTTTTTTAAAATTTCATAGTAAATAATTATTAATTCATTAATATATTTGATACCCAGTCATTCAAGATGAGGCGCAGGCCATTGCAATTTTTTTTAATTTTGTTTAATAAATATATTCTGGAGGAGAATAATATTCTCCTTGAGCTGCATTGGAGGAGGAGGAATTGAGCGACTGAGATAGACTGAAGAGATTAGGAAAGTCTTCATGGAAAACTAAGGGTGGCAAAGTTCCAGGACTGAAACTAATGCTCAGAGTAACTTCATTTGGACATAGACGAATGACTTCATTGATGGACATTCATTTCATTTTGAGGGCGCTTCCATTTACTTGGCTTCATTATATCTTTAATTTTGCCAACTATCTTAAGTCGGTCTAAACCAATTTAAGCTTACTATAAAAATTCAATTTATTTAATATCGTCGAATATAATTTACTAGTTTCTGTTTGTTTGGTCAATCGCGGTTTTTGGTAGACCCTTAAGTTAGATGCAAACTATAGGGCAAGATATATGTTTACATCCTAATTATTGTACTATAATCATTAATTAAAACTGTTTTTTCCATGATTTTTTTGTGCATATATATATCGATTTTACGAATGGCTGTGGAATACACTACACATTCTAGCGGTTTTAGAGATAGATAATCCGAGTAAAAAGAACGTTTTTTTTTTTTCCACAGTGCCAGCGAGGGAAGTGTGGGCTTTGGCCGGAGACTTGACTCTCCTCCCTTGTGACCTGAGCGTCCGGCTCCCTAAGGACTCCGTCCAGATGGTTATGTGGCTGAGAGAAGGCACCCATACTCCGTTGTTCAGGTAGGTCTCTATGGGAGAGAGTTTGTACCAGTGGTCCTAACACTTCCCCCATCTTTGGATAGGTTTCAGTGGAGGAAATTCCCTTCTTGCAGGCGATAAGTCACAATAACGTGGCTGAAGAATGTTGAGCAGGTTCCCTTCTTCGTGTATGTCTCAATGGAAGACTCACGTATCCCTTTCGAGGTAAGTTCCAATGGAGGAAACATTTCCCACCTTCAAATAGGTCATCTCGGAGAACATGAAGGCCTCAGAGGAGAAAAGGATTTCGCACCTCCAGGAAAGCTTCAGTGGAGGAAACATTTCTCCAAGCTCAGGTTGCTTCTATGGCGAAAACACTTCTTTACCTCCAGGAAGCCGCAGTGGAAAGATTTCCCAAACTTCAGGTAAATCACAGAAGATGACATACTTTCCCGCCTAAATTTTTCAAAGTATTTCCTTGAAAAGAAATTAAAGTTACATTTTTTTCAATAAATAAAGATATAAAGTTATAAGTTATAAAATGTATTTCTTTCAAATACCTTTTATAACTTCACGGCATTTTTCATATATGTTCCCCTGTGTTCAGCATTAGGCGTCCAGCACAAATTCCCCTCATCCCTGTAATATTGTTAATTATAACTTGTTTCCCCTCTTGCACTCTGAGAGTGGAGTTTTGTGCGTCCTGACACAGTATTCACTCGTCCATCTAACCTAAAGCCATTTTAAACTATTACATTGTTCAATAAATGTATTTACGAGAAGAAAACATTATGAATCTCTCTGTATGGCAAAAAAATATGTATATAAACAAAAATGCAAATGCAGCGTATTTGATATTATGTAAGATATTTGATACAGCAAGATATTATGTAAATTGTTAATAAATTAATGTTAACTGCAAGTTTTTTTTTTAATTATTTAAGCAAATTAGGTAAATTCTTAATCATACAAGGTAAATAATAGTAAACAATGTCGCTTATTGTTATTAGGCATTATGTTAAAATGCCATTGCTCATTATATGCCATCATACTAAATAAATAAATAAATTATAATAAAAATAACAGCAATTGTTATATTTAAATGACATTAATTAATAGATAAATTATAAAAAACAGCAGACAATTTGAAGCACTCCAACTTTCACAGTGATAGATTACTTATTCTGAAGACTTTTTTAAGAAGCCTAAATTAAAAAAAAAATTGCTTGAAATCAGAGATATGTAAAATAAAATTAAATAATAATTAACATAAATAATATTTGAAACATGATGCCTTCATGCATAATATATACGACAATTCCTCCAAAACGTCATGGTCTCACCTGCGAGTATTCCTACTGAATGACGATTAATTTTTAGATGAAAATATAGCACCATTGGGCATAAGCTTATAGAATAAAAATAATATATGCTGAGTGATTACGAATAAGCTTTACATTTTCTGTGATAGAAAAACAAAATTGAGGATCAATGTGTAGGTCAGCTTAGTCATTCAGGCTTCAAAATATGTATTATTGTGTCAATCTGTAGGTGTTATTACAAAATGCGGAATATAAAAATCAATTGTTATTGCCCCGAAGTGTTAAATCACAGATACGTTATTTATTAGTGTTTAAAAATTTTTACTTGAATCTATTTCCTCATATTCAAAAAAAATAATTGACACTAAATACTATATATTGTTCCTATATTAAAATAAAAAAGTGAGCAGTAATATGCTGTAAATTAATGCAAAAGGTAGAGTAAGACTTTTTATTAATTCTTATCAATTGGATTAAGTTTCAGTTTTGTAAGTCAATTTGAATTATTTAGTTTGTTGGTCAATTAAATAATTGAAAACCTTATTGATGAGCTACGTTTAGTAGTAAAATATATTGTCAAGAAAAGAACATCTTAGTGATAACATACATTTTATTTTCTTACCTATTTTGTTTTACAGATTATATTAATAACAATTCACATAATATTATAACGTGATAATATTTTTGTCCTTTTCACAAAATTCATATGTAATGTCAATTAGAAAAACAGAGGAATTAAAAATTAGACTTCGATGACCAAAGAATATTCTCTTCTGGGTGCTGAGAGAATTTGCAAGCATTAATTTTTATGATGTTTAGCATTCAAAAGCGTTTATTTACTTAATATCTATGACCACAGTATTATGATATGAGCTTTAGGGAGGCATAAAGTTTCAGTCTGGGCAGCGGTTTGGTGCTTCTGAAATCTTAATCTATTGTGGCTAGCTCGTAGCTTAGTTGGTAGAGCGCTCTTCTCCCATGCTGCAGGTCGGATTTTTGAGGTTTCTAGTGCCCAGGTGAACGAAATTGACTTGTGAACACTTTACATAAGATTAGAAGTGTTATTGAGGGGTCTTTTGCGTATTATGGAGGCATATTTTCTTGTCGTGGAGGTCTTCTTAGAAAGAATGGTTTTAGAAAACGGTTTGTTGAATCGCGAAGTGATCACCTAAACTGTGATATGAAGGAAACGTTTCCTAAACACTTGCATAAATATTTGATGAGTCCGACCGATGGCCGAAGAAAGTGGAAGGATGCTGTTGTTGATGACTGCTGGATTGTGCAGGAACAGAGCAGCACTGTACACCTGGTCTTATGAAGTGGTGTGTGTGTGTGTGTGTGTGTGTGTGTGTGTGTGTGTGTGTGTGTGTGTGTGTGTGTGTGTGTGTGTGTGTACTCTCCTAATTGTGGTTGCGGGGGTTGAGCTCTGGCTCTTTGGTGTGTGTTTGTTTGAATATATGTATGTGTGTTTTTTTTCTTTGTGTGAATGTGTGTGTGTTTGTGAGCTTTCTAGGCAGTGTTCAAATGTTTTTTTTCATTTTTAATGCAACACACGTTTTCAGAAATTTACATATATAGATAACGAGCAATTTTATATCGTTGAAAAATACTAAAATTCCCAATAATTAGCGAACGTACAAAAAAAACATTAATTATAAAATATAACCTTATGTCCGAAAAATTCTCCAGGAATTGAAAAGGCGTCTATACACTAACTCTTAAAAGAGGCACCAGACAATGCGTCTCTGGTCGACCGAAAATTTGTTCCTTCGCTTCACAACGAGAGGGACTTCGTCTGCTAACTTTCAGGTCACGACCAATATCTTCACCTCCGAGATGTTGAGTTGGGTCCTGAAGTAAGGTTTGTGCCGCACAGGAGAGAGACGAGGGAGGCGTCTTGACGGTTTAGTGATTGTCTAAGGTGCTGCTGGACACCTTCACCAGGATATGTTTCTTTATCGATGGTTTCTTTTCATGTAAACATGTTCTTCTTTTTGTCTTGTTCTTCTCTCTCTTCAATTATCTTTGTTATCATTTACGTGACAGTCATTTTTATGTCTCGTGACTTGTGCGACCTTTTCTTTCTTCTCGACTTTCAGTTCTTATACTTTGGAAAGTATAATGACTTTAAAAAGAGTATTATTAAAATAAAGTACTAGAATCACCAAAATAACAGAAGTATTTCAATTACTACTGAACCTAATTTTTACTTATTTCTCTGTTAATCCCATTATCTGGACTTCTATACACTATTATGCTAATCTATATCAATGAAATAAAATTTACGTCCGTCTATCCATGGGTGTAGGTCAAACGCTTGGTGCTAACCTTTTCCCAAGTTTTCATACTGACAGTGTGGTGACTGTCACAGGCTTATTGGGGTCAGTCACAGTGTCCCCAGTGCGAAATAACACGTTCCAACCACTTCATCACAGATCGAATAAAGGATGTTTCGCCTGATATCCATATTACCATACCAGAAGACAGCACAGTCTTAGGAGCCCTTCTTGGGTCGTGGACTATCTATGAGGTCCTTGATAAGAAAATAGCTGGCCTGAAGAAGTGGGATTGGAAGACTGAAGATATTGATACTCACGACGCTCTTTACCTCTTCGCCAAACTCCCGTCCCTCCTTAAATTAAGCTAGTTTCCGAGGTGTTCACCATGCTACAATAGCCAAAAACTAGGTGATTATTACTTCTTATGGCAATCGCTGTTACAAAAAAAGCCCTGTACCTTTTCCTTGGTAACCAAAAGGAGAAACAAGCTTCTCTTCCCGTAAGATTTGGGAGCGTTGGCGTTCGAATAGCAACTCAAATCGCTGTACCAGCCTTTCTGTCCTCTTGCACACCATCTGACAACCTAGTGAAGGAATTTCTGCCTAACTACTTAGGTCAACTGGCAGGGGCAGACGGGCCCAACTTTATACTCTGTGCTACCGATTGGGCCTCTCATGCTCTTACGGGCTATTCATGCCCGTGCCACCTCTTGGATGATTTAATCTTTATCAATCAATCAATCTCTCATGCTAGCCCAGCTAGCTAACCACCACAATCGAAAGCCCACATACAATTCAGTTGGGATGGCCTTATTGTAGACCTAGCTGTTGCAGGGGTGCCTAGATGCTGCGACAACACAACCCAACGGTACTCGCTTCACAGCAGTACCGTCCCCACAGAATTAGGTGACTGCCTCTTACCAAACCGAAGGTTGGTAACTGAAATCAGGGTAATAACAGTCTTACACCGCATGCCCTGCGAATTGCTGATCCAAACCAAACCAAATATATTTGTATATTCGGCAAGATGGTAGCTGATAGGTGCGGCCATCATGGCCTACTCTGCCAAAGCACAGGGGGATGGCACTCGAGACACAGTGAAGTTAACGACATCATCAAGAGGAGCCTCGCCACAGCTGAATGCCCAGCTGAGAGAGAGCCCCATTACCTAACGCCCCGTAACTCTGCTGATATTACAGATCACCCAGATGGTATTACAGTGAACACTTGAAAAAATGGCAAGCAGTTGGTATGGGACTACACGTGTGTATCAACCCTGGATAACACCTACATTGACTTCAGTGCTGCACATCCGGGTGGTGCTAAACTCACAGGGAATTAGCCAAGTCGTGTAAGTACAGAGAACTCGATCACCACTACAATTTTGTTCCCATTGCGTATGAAACACTTGGCGCCAGGGGTAAGAGTGCCATCAATTTTCT